GCATTAATACATCTAAATTATACATTGTACATATGTTAAGCATATACATTATGTTGATTGTATGTTGACATTTGAAACAGAAGCGCTACAATATGCATACGCCATGTGAGCAAAAGAACAAAAGCTGACATACAAAAAGCTATTGAAAAACCCACAAAAGGATATAAAAGGAAAGGAAATGAGGAACATTCACTCATTCCTAGCCACCTCTCCTGCACATGTAGCATCAATGTGACAAAGATCAGTGGCTCAAACTGGTATCACGATCTCACGCTAACTCAGCATAACGGTGAAGAGATCCTGGGTAAAATGAGGTGCAAGGCGCTTTTCAAGATACTTTTTTCCCCCTGTATACACTTATTGTCACAATAGTGGAGAATGGGAAAAAATGTATGTGGGAAATTGTAACAAGCTGAGAAAAAGGTGAGACTTAAACAAGTAACATTAAGAAGTGTTTGTAGGTATTAGACCTGCTCGTGCGTGCAGGTGTTGGAAGGCTCCCTCTGTATCTGATGCCCTCCTCTAGACAGGGAGGTCTAGCTATTCTTTCGCTGGCAACAGAAGCAAACTTTCTCTTGTCACGGACTGCAAACCCTCTGGGGAAATTACTACTCTGTGCCAGTTGCGGCTGGGAAACTAATATAAAAGGTAATTTCATGGCAACAAAGCCCTAATTAATACCATCCTCTGCTAAAAAGGTTTATGCAATTGTAGTACATGATCATTTTTCCTTAGTTTTTTCCCCTCATTAACTGGATGAAAAGGCCAAAGTGTTTGGACTATTGGTACCTTTTTTGGCCACTAGTAGCGCAGAAAGCACCCCTTATTTCTGTGTATTAATGGGAAATTAGTAATAATAGTAATAACAACAACAACAACAACAACAACAACAACAACAACAACAACAACAACAACAACAACAACAATCATAATAATAATAATAATAATACCTTCTGACAAGTAGTAATATCTCATTTGAGCAACAGAGCAGATTCTATTAACTCAAACATTTCTTCTGTAACCTGGTTCACCTACTATAGTTCGATTTTTGCTGCTCCTGACAATTCTCCACTGGATTTTGATAGTATTGATTTAGATGGTGTTCCTAGCTGGCGGCTGGTAAATCCAGAGGAACTGCTTGAACTAACTGCTGAACTTAAATCACCAGGCCCAGATGGGATCCCAGCTGAATGTCAGCGAGGCCTCTCTCGAGCCCTGGCTGCCATGGGAGTGGCTCTGGAATGTTAACTTCCTTTTCTTCTCAGTTTCCATTATCTCTGTCTGACCTTCAGTGCCTGGTACAGTATTTCTCTTGGGGAAAGTGACCTGTTACTTTGGCGGGCTTCTACCTGGCCTCTGATTGGCCCTAGGCCATCAGGGGGTCTCCTTGAATAATGTATAACTGTTTGCTTCGTGTGTTTTATGTTAGTTCTAACACGAAATGGTTAAGATATCTGCATACTCTCATATTCTCAATAAACTTCTTTGAATGAAAGCTATTGGGAACTGATTGCTGCAGGAGTCTGACAAAGTGTTAGAACTCCTTACAGTTCCTGCCTGGACTTGTACCCAACCATGACTGCCGGTGATACCGGGAGCGTTCCGGTTACCACCACTGAGGAGGAACCGACTCCCACCATGACTGTGACAACCACGACAGCGGGTGGTGATGCCGGTGGGGATACTGGTCAATTGGGAAGATTCTGGCAAGAATCCTATTCCTGGTCGTATGCCCTGGGCTGCACCGAAGCAGCTGGGCGATAACTCCCGACCCAAGACTGTCTGCCTATAGCCAACACTACGGTAGCCGCTACCCAGAAGAGTATGGGAAAGACTACGGAAAAGCGGCTAAGAGTGAGGAAATGCAAGTTGAGCGGGTGTGGCAAGAACTTATGGAGCAACATGAGGAATTATGCCGGGACATGCAAGAGATGGTGTTTGACGTCCCCCAGCTCATTGCAGATGCAGTGAAGCATGAAATGCATGCCGTCCTGCCGGACGAGGATGGAGGAAAAGGGCAAGACCAGCTGCGCAACAGGGCACAGGCTAAAGATCAGGTGGTAAGCATACCAGTTCCCATTAATCCTCTGGGGGGGCCAGGCGATCAGCAGCAGGTTAGGGCGCTGGGACCCCTGTGCCACTGGCGCCGGCACCCAGACCCAAACAGCCCTGTGAAATGTTGGATGCCACCTTTGATGGAGACCCTGACAAACTGTCCTTCTTCCTGCTGCAGGTGCACACGTTCTTGAGGGACTGGTAGGTAGGTAGAAAATGTATTGTATATGGCCATAGGCCTTTACAATTGAGAGTCGTTAGAGATAAAATGCAATTACAGATATAAAGATATAGTACCTCACTAAAATATAGTAATATAATACATATTTATGTGGTCCCTGCAAAGACAATATGAAGACCCCTTGGAATTGGAGAAGGTGCGAACCTGCCTGCGAGCCTTGCGACAAGGAAATAAGATGGTCCATGAATTTCCGGATGAGTTCAAGATGTATGCGGCTAAGGGGCAGGGATGGCCTGAAGAAGTCCTGATTGAACAGTATCATATTGGGTTAAATCACCAGATACTGGAGAAGGTCCATCAACCCAATGACTTTAGCTGGGTGGATCTGTGAAGCCAGCAATGCAGAGAACCGACTCAAGCTGATTAAAATGCACCTCCCTAGGCCAGCCCCAAAGACACCGGGGGGGGGTGAGGGGAAAGGCCCACGATCCAAGCCTAAAGAGCCCATGAAAGAGTGGTGTATGAAGCAAGGGGTGTGCCTAGACTGCGGGGCTCCGGAGCACAACACTGCCTTTTCAGGGGGGCCCTTGTTTATCTAGATGATATCTTATTATACTCCCCCGACAAGAAATCACATGTGAAATTAGTGAGGGAGGTGCTGCAAACACTGTATGAGAATAAACTGTTTGCGAAGCTGTCCAAGTGCGAATTCCACAGCACAGAGGTGGATTTTTTGGGCTATCACATCTCTCCCAGAGGTTTGGAAATGGACCCAGCTAAGGTCAGAGATGTCCTGGGATGGGAGGCACCTAGAACCTGATGCCAGCTCCAATCCTTCCTTGGGTTTGTGAACTTTTATAGGGCCTTCATCTCAAACTTTGCCCAAGTCAGTCTACCCCTCACGGACCTCCTGAAAACCAAGGGAAAGGGCCTGGAGAGCACCAAGCCAGGCGCCCGGCTGCTCTGGATTACAGAGTGTCAGGAGTCATTTGACCGCCTCAAGGCACTGTTCACTTCGGAGTCCATGTTAGCTCATCCCGATGAAAACAAGAAATTTATTGTACAAGTAGACGGCTCGGATGTGGTGATGGGGGGGGCGATCTTGCAAGAGGGGGCTGATGGCAAATTACACCCTCTTGCTTACGTATCCCGCAAGTTCAATTCGACTGAACGCAACTGGTCAGTGTGGAATAAGAAAGCTGGGGCGATTAAGCTAGCACTCTCCACGTGGAGGCATTGGCTGGAGGGTGCCAGGGTGCCGTTTGAGGTGTGGACAGACCATAAGAACTTAGAGGCGTTGCGCACCCCTCATAGCCTGAATGGTAAACAAGTGCGCTGGGCAGAGTTCTTCTATAAGTTCCACTTCACCCTCCATCATTTTCCCGGGAAGTCTAACTCCCTAGTGGACGCCCTCTCGTCCCTCCCCCAACACAACAGCCAAAGGGAGAGCATCATTGACTCTATGTTCACACGACTGTTGGTACAAAGGGCATAGACTGTTTGTCCCCATTCCCGGTGACCCTTGTGCTGAATGATGTGACTTGAACTTGCCTTGCCTAAAAATCTGAGACATTTGCATCCTGTCTTTCATCACAGCCTTCTCAAACAGGACCCGGGGCCGAACGCCTGGAGGCCGAATCGACCGTGCCCCCCCCCCCCCATGGCAGATGGTGAACCACATTTCGAAGTCTCTCGGATTTTGGACTCGAAGCTAAAAAGGGGGGGGGGGGGAGGCTCTGGGGAGGGGTAGAATGTCAGCTAATGCTGCCATGCTTTGGAATGTTCAGTCTAAGGACGTGCTCCCTCGCCTCCCCCACTCCTTCACCTCCGCTTGTGCTTATCCTGCAGGTGTCCTTGAGGCTAGAGGCACTTCTTCCCAAGCTTCCCACTGGGAACCTAACAGCCGAGTGTTAGCCCACGCTTAATAATGCTTGCTTATTGGCTTTGTAGTATAAAGGGGTCTCCTTTGAAGGGGGTATATCCCAAAAGCCCCGTGCCTCGCCCGCCATTCCTGACACAAGAGTTCATGCTGTCTCAAGTACTTTCTCTGTCAATAAACTGAATCTTCTGAAGACCTGGTGTTGAACGTGATTGACTGGGAACCCTGACACTCAGCTGATAGCTTCATTTCTGGTGCTCTTCCTAGTCCATATTCTGTTTTAGGACTGAACAAAACTTGCTATCATAATGGGACAGGGGGGAATGGCATGTGTGCGCGCGTGCATGAGTGTGTCTGCACCTGGAAGTCACGGTGACCTCTGGTGACTGACCCCTATTGGGGGCTTGGAGGATAGTCAGAGAGGTGGCTGAATAACCCTGCCCCCGCCTCCAGTATTCCAAGGAGGTCTCCCATCCAAGTACTTGTCAGAGTCGACCCTGCTTAGCTTCCAGATCTGACAAGCTATCCAGGTCAGGGCTTTAAGTAACTCTCTCAAAGAAAAGGCTGCTTCTAGGGGAAGTTGAACAGAATAGCTTTCCCTTAAATTGGTAAATCAGATATTCCACCGAGGACATGAAACAGATTGTAAATGTTTGTGTACAAACAAGTTACCTTTGCTACCTTTAGGGAATTTAGCAGAGGACGCACATGATAGAAAAAGGTGTTCGCATACCTATAACACGGAGAAACCCTAAAAGGCTATATCCTAAGGGAACAAGGAGGGTTTGTTTTTCCTTCAAACTTTGAGCAAGAGGGGATACTGGTTACCCACCCCCACCCCGGCAAGTATTCTACATCTCTGGAAGGGATATGAAATGCACTTACTCTAATGTCACGAATAAGTTGTTGCGTGGGTGTTTCAATGGGAACTTTGCTGTCAATGACTCCTTGGATGGCAAAGGCCCAACGCATGGCTTCATTCAGTAGCTTGGTATAGAGGCGGTATGAGTGCTTTCGGCCATGCACAGTGATGTTCCAATAACCTGCCAGCACACACAGAAACAGGCAGTTAAACTGGATGTACACCCCAGTTTGGAATGATAAAACCATAACTGAGGCAGTGAGGGAGAAAAGTGGGAAGAGGCTATAACCTGATAACAATGAACACCAAGTTTTTATCACATGGTGCCGCTGTAAGGTGGTCCAAACTAACAGGAGTAGCACCTTAAGAGGCAGCCAGAGGAGTCTTTGGTACCTTTGTGTGTGCCTCATAGGTTCAGCAATTAGAAAGCCACTTAAACCCCACTTGAGTAGATCTATAGCATCATTCAAACAAAAACAACACACTATTTCTCTCTAAAGCGGGGTCCCCGACCCTGTTGGGCCTGCAGGCAGTTTTGGAATTCTGTGAAAGGATTGGGAGGGTGCCACCGAAAAACAACTGCCACAAAATGTTGGGAGGTTCAAAGACAGGCATCCTCCTACCATGGGCGCCGCTGCTTCCAAATGGGTATTCCCTGTAGAGTTAAAACAGATGCCTCCATGGCTCTTCTCAAGCACCTCCCGCACTGAGGATGCGGAGGACAGCTTTGGGAAGGAACTGCCTGATTTCAGTGTTCAAAAAAGGGGGAAGATTTGCTCCCTTTGTGGCCATAGGGAGAGCTTTCCAAGGCCTGACACAAAACAAAGTCTGTCTTTCATGCCCTAACTGAGGACACAGAGATCATGTGACACGCCTGCCTGGGATAATCTGGTAGGGAGTGAGCAGAGGCTCCTTGGCTTTTCCCCCCTGTTCCACTGAAGACCCTTTGGATTCTGTCCCCAGGACTCGAGAAACAAGTGGGACCCAGGAAACACATCTGTAGGTCCTGCTGCACCCCAGGCACCATGTTGGTCACAGGTGCTCTAAAAGAACCACTGAGCTGAATCTCATGGTATGTGGGGGTTAGTTCTGAACTCCTCTTCTGGGTTTTACCCCGTGTGTACAGAACAAAGACCTGACTGGACTCTGCTGATAGAAAACAGAGATCTTTATACGTTCTAATAATGGAAATCCTTTTAACTAAGGCTGAACTCGGGATCTTCTTCATGTAAAACCCGAGCCCTCCCTACAGTCTGCTATAAATACCTCAGGTAACATACAAATTGCAAAACATAATGAATTTCCTGGAGTACCATTACACAGCTGCCAGAGGAAGACTTAGCAACCACCTTTGTGTAACTACTCTTTCCTGTTTCTTACCTGTTTCTTTGAAGACTCGTTCATCGGGCTGGACCACTGAGCAAAGGCTGTTGAGCACAAGAGTCCCAAGCTTGGTGGCTGTGCGCTCAGATGATTTGTAGTAGTCAAGGGCAGTGCTGGTCAACACAAACCAGCGTTTCTTCACCTTCAGAGAAGACGTCTTGCTGCTGTTTTGGACCTCCTTATGAAGCCACCCTGACAGGGGAGAGGACAACAGAAATCAAGGGGCTGGAGGAAAAAGTAACAGCTGGCCTGAGACCGCCTAGAGAGCTGAGGAACTGGAGACTCACCACACTCTTAGCCACTACACTACACCTGCTTGCATGGCCTTTGGCAACGGTGCCTTGGGACAGTATCCTGTGTTAAAGCCACAGGTCCAATTATGCAGTCTTTTACTGCCATTTTACTCCAATGGTGAGGGGTAGTATTTGGGTTTTGTGCCCAAGGCACCAAAATGCATATGTCTGTCATTGCCTCTGTCTTTTTACCTCTCACAAAAAACTCCTGCCCATCGACCCTGGATTCGCCTTTGGGCTTCTGCAAGAGAGAGATCCAGTGGTGCATCTCCTCAGGTATGTCACTGTTGCAATGGATGACGCGGTTTGCTGTGATGATCACAAAAGAGTTTGGCCTGCAAAACATAATGAAAGTAGGACACCTACTAAATTCTGCTTGATGCCACAGCCCAGATCAGAAGTACTGCAGTTCTCTCCTTCCCACACACTAGACAGACTGTATAGCCTCTTATTCCCACACATTACATTTTCCAGTTATTGTGGAAGAACATCCTCTCCCCAAAGTGTCTACTTTATGCAAATGAAGCCTCCTTTAACAACCTTCCAACAACTTCCATTTTTCAATAAACCTTTTCTCTGTCTCATTTTGTCCGCATGATACATCATACATCTAACTCCCAAGTGGGCCCCAGGATATGCACAAAAAATCAGCACAATAGTGCCATGCAGGGATAGATGTTTCTATCCAAAAACTGGGGAGAGTTTTAAAACCTCTCCAAAGTAAAAAGTGACACATCTGACAGAACAAAAGATGCTTGGGTGATGATTTGGATTTGCAATCCCAAATGGCATCCAGTATTGCTTCACTCCCACCAGGACGTAAGGGGACCAGGGAAAAGGGAGAGGAGGGAGAGAAGATGAGGGTCGTGCAGGGGACAAGACGAGAGGGAGGAACAGTGGCCGCTGGAGAGGGGAAACTGAAAAAAAAATAGGTTTGAGGAAGGGGAGAGAGAAGGGAAAGGGGAGAGGCCCATGAAGGGGAGGGGAAGTGGAGACAGTGTGGAAAGGGAGGGGCAGTTGTTGGGGTAATGAGATTCCTCCCAAAGGTCCTCCACTTTTGTGTACACGTACACATATATATAGGAGCTGCGGTGGCTCAAGTGGTTAAGATGCTGAACTGCAGGCTGTGGAAGGTCAGTAGTTCAGCAGTTCGAGACCCGAGTTGCCGCATGACGGAGTGAGCTCCCGTCTCTAGTTCCAGCTCCTGCCAACCTAGCACTTCGAAAGCAAGAAATTGCAAGTAGCTAAATAGGTACCACTTCAGTGGGAAGGGAACAGCATTCCGTGCGCCTTGGTGTTTAGTCATGCCGGCCACATGACCACGGAAACATCTTCGGACAGCGCTGGCTCTTCAGCTTTGAAACGGAGATGAGCATCGCAACCCTAGAGTCGGACTCGACTGGCTTTCGAGCAAGGGAACCTTTACATTTTTACACATATATACACAGGTCTCATCGTTCCCAAAACCAGGTGCTGCCCCATGTCTAGATGTCTGTAGAGCAGAAAACGCTCCTATCAAATGGCAAAGGTGTCTCATTTCTCCAAAATGTTCACTATGGGTATTCAGCAAAAATAAGACGTAGGAAAAATGGGTTGATCTTCAGAACAGATAAAGCACAACTCTAAGATTTTCACCAAGCTCTGCAGTACATGGACAGGCCCTTCCATCTACTTTTATGTCCATGCAGCTTTATTTGTAGAAAAGAAAAGCATCTGTGTTAGAGAAAATGTACCCCTAGCATTAAAGTAGCCTTGTGTTATTTAGAGGGATTTTTTAGAAATCCAACATTATGCTAATATCCTTGGCCTTAACTGGAACGGAAAGAAACCCCATTTTCAGGTTAAATTACACAGAAGAACAGATTCTTAATTTTGCGTTCCTCTCACAAGGCTGTAAGATTATTCTGTTATATTACTTTTCTATCCCAACCTCCTTCCAAGGAACTCAGAGCAATGTGCACCGTTCTCTTGTCCTCCATTTTGTCCTCCCAACAAGCCTGTAAGGCTGGTTAAGCTGAAGGAGAGAGGCTGGCTAACACAAGGTCACCTCAATCAGCTTTCCAGCAGAGAGGGGGGATAAAACCTGGGACATTCCAGTCCTAGTTGGATGCTCTAATAGCTACACTACCCTTGTTCTAATAGCACCTTCTCCACTGGCAACGGAAGGGCTATGGAAAGGCTATTTCCAAAAAATCCACCCCTCTGAAAGTAGAGAGCAGGAGTCACAGGGTGATAGCGGGGAAGCAAAAGAGCCCCAGCACCATCCTTTAGTGCACTGGCCTGCAGATTCTGAAAAATCCTCAGGGAAGAGCACCCCAAGGCATGGCCCTGGGCCACACTGCTCCCATGTAGCAATCCCTCTTCACAGCATACACTGTATTAGCACACAGGGGCAGAGGCTATAGATAATTGCAACCACCTTCCCAAAATGGGAAACACCCATAGCTCACAAACAGTAACACACAGCTACCAGAATTTACTAAGAGAAAAACAGTTGCTCCAAGAAGCCTCTGGCACTGAAACCACATTGCTAAAAATAAACATAGCCATTTGGTATGGCAGTTTGGGAGCTATTTATTCTGGCAGAAGGCATTAAGTGGCTATTTAACTGTTGCATTTATATTCACCCAAATAAACTCCAGGAGGATTTCATATAATATTTTTCCCCCCGTTATACAACTGTTGGGAGGGAAGGCAGCATGGTGGCACAGCTCAGTCTTGTCAAATTCAGAAGCTCAGCAGGGTCAGTACTTGGAAGGGAGACCTCCAAGGAAGACTCTGCAGAGGAAGGCCATGGAGATCCACTCCTGCTTCTCACTCGCCTTGGAAGCCCCTTGCTTTCATAAGTTGGCTGTGACTTGATGGGGCTTTACACACACACACACAGAGCTGTCACTGTACTGAAAACGTTTGAAAAGTATAAAATGATTAGCCAAATAAATAGACATAGTCGTTGCCTACCTGTCAGGATTGTCAGAAGCACAGACAGAATCGATAAGTCCCACGTCCAAAGTTCCCTTTAAAACCACACAAAAACAAGCCAGACCCAAACATTATTCTACTGACTCAAGAGTCTGTCACGTTCTAGCATAACGAACCAGAATCCAAGATGGATATAGGCAGATGAAAGGGCACACTATGCATACAGGAAGACGCTTGATTCTTAACGGCTGGGGTCACCACATGCAGTGAACAGATTAAGCTCCTACTGCAACAGTGTCCCTGAATGCACCCCCCTTGCTTTTTCCAGCAAAAATGATTGGATGCCATCCATTCCAGTGTTGAAAGGGTAGAGCACTATCCTTGGAGACAACTGTGGAGTCTGAGCAAAACCTGCCCTGTGCTCCTGACACCAGGTGGCTTGGCATGAACTGAACTGAGGGATCCCACGGGAAAGAGATGTGCTGCACCCCAGTGCTCTTCACCCCAGTGCTTCCTACAATACCATTTTCTTAATGGATCCTTCTCTTATGCCCAAACCCAGCCATTTTCTGGTATCTAAAAAGCGTTCCCCACAAATAGCTCTCCTACTGGACTGCACAGTTATTATTTTTATTTATTTTAAACATTTCTGTGCTGCCTTTCCACCCAGCTTAGTGTGTCCAAAACGACAAATGGTTCAAACAATTAAATAAAACAAATAAACACACAGACACACAAACAGAGGATTTAGTGAAACAACAAAGTCTTCAGGTGCTGGCGGAAGCAATGATCTAGGAAGACAGATGAATCTCCCTGGGGAGGACGTTTTGGCACCACAACTGATAAAAACAGGTTGCTTACCTGTAACTGATGATCTTCGCGTGGTCATCTGTGCATTCATACTCTGGGATATAGTGCGTCTGCGCCAACCTCGATCAGTTCCTCTTGAAAGTGAAAGGGATTTTTTCTTGAAAGTGAAAGGGATTCTTACCGGAGGCCAAGAGCTCCCGCAGAATAAAATTTTCTTCCAAACGAATCAAGTTTCCTTCCTTTTTTCTCAGAGGGGGTGGAATGACTGCATCTGCCCTTGGAGGAGGAAGTGACTACGACAGAATTAGGTTTAGGGTGGGTAAACAGAAATTCAGCACCCTGCTCCTGCACCGTATACATATGATCTACCCTCCGGCTCGAGACGGGTGTAGATGCCGGGTGAGACCATGGGACTTTAGCCGCCTGAAGGAGGACCGAAGTCATTGGTAAGGCAATCGGTATAGAAGTGTCCATCTGGACGATATCGAACACGAAGTCTGTCACAGTAGGCGGGGGCTGTACCGTAGACAGAGTGAGCGTGTTAGACATCCATTTAATGAAATCTCCGTAGGATTTCAAGTCTTCCGAAGGGGAGATTGGAAGATTATCGCCCGCTTGTTGAGGCGGCAAGGGTTCCACCGGAGGATCAGGGTTTTCGTCCCCTAATTGGGAGGAGGCATCTGAAGAGGCGGAGTGCCCAGACAGCTTGGAAAATGATGTAGGTAGCATCGGTATCAATGGAATCGGGTTCGATGGCTCTTTAAACTTTGGAACTGTCGGGTGCGACGGCTTGGGAGGTTTGCCCATTGGCCTCGACAGATGGGGCCTCACAAACTCCGACGTTGATGGAGGATCTCGATACTGGGAAATGTGTGAAGAGGTGGACTGACAGTCCCACTCCACTGGTTGGGGTAGGAACCACGGCATACTGCCTGTAAATGGATAGGCCCCGTACATGTATTGCCACTGCCAATGATCCCAGGAGGGCGGTGGTGGTGGGTAGATCGGTGCCGATGGTCGGCCTCAATCATCAGGATGGAGTTGTGAAGGACGGACAAATGCATCGGCTCCATGGTCTGAATGCAGACTTTCAACACTGGAAGACCGGGAGATCTGTGTCAAGTCCATATCGTGCTCAGAGTCAGTGAGCTGGACAGGACGCAGCGAAGGCGACTGAGGTACACCTTGTGGCTGCTCTCGCCTCGAAAAGTCAAGGGAAGCAGCCTCCGTAGGATTCAGTTCCAAGACCCTCTGCGGGGTCAGCGGAGATAGCGCAGGGGGAGTTTTCTTATGCTTTTTATGCTTGACTGGCCAATCGTCCTTGCCTTCCCTGCATTTTTTGGAGGGAGTATGGGCTAAGGACTGAGGTGTCTGGGCCGAGCGTTTCAGCACTGGGCGGTCGACATCTACGTGAGTCGATATCGGGGACAGCGCAGCCGTCAATGCTGAGGCAGCAGTCGACACTGACACAGGCCCTGAAGTGTCCTCTGACGACATCGGTGGAAGTGCTAACTCCAAAAGCACGACGCGAAGTCTAGCAGCTCTGTCCTTCCTTGTCTGCTTCGAAAACTTCGCTTAATGAGCACAAGAGTTCACTCGGTGCGATTCCCCGAGGCACAAAAGACAAAGCGAGTGTCCATCGGGGGGGCGGGGGGGATCTTGCTGCCGCACTTAAGGCACCGTTTAAAGAAACCCCACCTCTTGGACACAGGTCGGGAGAGGGGGGGAACACACAACAGAGTCCAAAAGGAAATAAATCCGTAGAAACAAAGTCCTTTCACTTAGCAAAAATAAACACGAAAAAAACAAAGAAACTTCGAAGAAAAACGAGGAACAGGCCTAAAAGCCCACTTTTTTTACTGACCGAAGCGGAGAAGATCCTACCAGCGCGACGGCCAGAAGAGAGCTGGCAGGATTGTCGTGCCCCTCCCTTGGTCATGTGCAGTGGAGCTGGTGCGTGACTGGGGAGTGGGTGCAAAAATCCCTTTCGCTTTCAAGAGGAACCAATCGAGGTCGGCGCAGGTGCACTATATCCCAGAGGTGTGATGCACAGAGACCACGAAGAAGACAGGCTCTTACTTGGCTTGCCACCCATCTAGCATTAGATGGTGGTGGCAGCAGAAGCAGGGCCTCTGAAGATACTGGAGTAGTTGGGTAAGTTCATATGGGAACAGGTGGTCTTCGAGGTATTCTGGCCTGAAGCTATATAGACTTGAATTGGGCTGGAAGCAAACTGGGAGCCAATGTAGATGGAACAAGACTGGAGTGATACGGTCCCTGTGACCAGGGCTCTTTTTGTAGACAAAGCCCAGCAGGAACTCATTAGCATAATAGGCCACACCCAACAGCAGGAACTCATTAGCCTATTGGACCACACCCCTGACAGCACAGCTCATTAGCACATGTTACCAGAAGTGTGGTTATCCAGCTACACCCACCTTTTGCTTCTTATTCTGTTTACCTTGTTTGTTGTCAAAACCCAGGGCCTTTTTTTGTAGCAGGAACTCCTTTGCATATTAGGCCACACACCCCTAATGTAGCCAATCCTATTGAGTTTCTGCTGTTGGATGTGGCCTATTATGCTAATGAGTTCCTGCTGGGCGTGGCCAACTTGGGAGCCAGCCGGAACTCCGTTCCTGTGCGTTCCTGCCCCAAAATAGCCCTGCCTGTGACCCACTCCAGGCAACATTCTGGCTGCAGTATTCTGTACGAACTGTAGCTTCCAGACAGTCTTCAGAGGCAGCTCCATGTAGAGCACATTGCAGTACTCTAATCTAGATGTCACCAGGGCATTAACCACAGTGGCAAGATCTTTTTCACTGATCCTGCTCTTGAACACAGTGATAGCAGACAGGGGAAAACAACCGCCGTCAGTTGCCAGACAGCCAGAACACTAACAGCCCAACAGCAATCTCAAGCAAGAGTTGCTCTCTTTTGAGCCCACTGACTTCAAATGACTGAGAAGGGTGTAATTTTCTTTGGGACTGGATTGTAAGACTTCCCCATCCAGGTCAGACCACCACCTGATGAAAGCCACTCACCACAGCGTTCTTTGGATTCGCTTGTTCATCCTGCATTTCCCTCAGCTGCTGCTCTGTTGCGCTGTGCACATGGCTCAGGATGTTAAACCAGTCACTGACAAAAAGACAGAACCACGTTCAGATGGGTAATAAGATTTGATTTTTAAGACCAATCAGATGGGGACAACATTCACCTTAATGTTGTGGCATTATTGATCCAGCTTGTTCAGCAAGGCGGGATATACATTGAAATAATAAATAAATAAATTATTCCCCTTGTATTTTCAATAAATCAGAGCCGGGGGGGGGGGGTTGAATTGTCCTCCTTGGTAACCTTTATAAGGAGCTGACTCATACTGAATTGGACCACTGAATCACAGCATGTTTTGTCCAGGCTTGAAGAAGGACTTCACGACCATGAGCAGAGTGATCCTTGTCACGCTCTGCTACTGGGGATGGAGGGACTGAATATGGAGCTGTCGACATACAAGGCAGAGTCACTAACACTGAGCTGTGGCCCCTCCTCTGCTACAGAGTTGAATACCAAAGGATGCAAAGAGAGTTATGGCCAGTGTTCCCTCTAAGCTGAGTTAGTGTGAGAACTAGCTCACAGTTTTTTAGCCTCCGGCTCACACATTTTTGTTTTAGCTCAGGAAGGGATGGCCCCAGAGCAAACTAATTTATGCAGCAGCCCAATCGCTCGCTCACAACTTTAATGCTAGTCACTCACAAAGTGGAATTTTTGCACACAAGACTCTGCAGTTTAGAGGGAACATTGGTTATGACGGCTACTCAGCATCAGCAGTGGAGTCGAGTGAGGCTCAGGGAAACTGACTTCCTCTCCATAGGCAGAGGGTGTGCCTTCCCTTCTGCCTAATGCTGTTCTTACTGCTGCAATCAGATGCCACTGCAGAGCTCGAAAAGACCAAAAGGACATCGACCTACGGGCCTCTGGCAATTAATTAACACATGGCAGACAAGGGTGCCAGAAGTGTGGAGCTGATGGCACACAGAAAGAGGACAACAGAGTAAATAGCTCCAGAGAGAATAAGTGACAGGAGCTCAGATGCTTGCAAGACTTTGATGCTTATCCTGATGGTCTCTAACATTTGACTGGTGATACCGTGACTGTAGCCTAAAACACACTGACAAAGCTGTCTTGCTCCAGATGTCCACTTCGACACAGGATTTCAGATGGATACATGAATATATCCAACTGGAGTTACAGCATTAGGCTGCAAGATTGTTTTATTTGGGCTCAGGAAGTTTGCAAGATATAGCAACTGTTTACATGGTAGAAATTGTAACACCAACTTCTATTTCCAGGGCAGGATCAGGAATGCAACAGACACCTATTCCAGCATGCCATACCTGGCATCCTCTGGTGACTCAGCGACTATGTGGTAAACGCGATCACTTGTCACAACGTCAAGAGCATTCTCCTTCTCATGAATGTCCACAATCTCTCTGGAAAAAAATGAAAATGGTGAGAACTAGAACACCAAGGCTGCCTGACAGAGGTCATACCTATCCAAGAGGTCCAGTGCTTCCCCCGATCTCCTCTCTGATCTCCTCTCACCAAATAATTAAGCAAAAGTATCCAAAATGGAAGAGAAAAAATGCACAGGGTTGGGAATGAGGAAGCAACCTCCGTCAGGAGATTGCCTCCTTTTGATCAAAATGGATTAATTCTCTCTACTATAGAGATATGGCGTGATCTGGTCCATTGGGTCGCGAAGAGTCCGACTCAACGGTGTGACTGAACAACAACAACAACTATAGCACCAAAACACCATTAACAAAGACAGAAAAACTGCCTTAAAATTAGGAGAAGCAGGGCAGGGGCCAGGGAAGCATCTCATCAGTACCAACTGATCTCAGGGGATCCAAGTATGGTGAAAGTGGCTGGGAGACAAGGCCCAGACAGCTCGGAAGCACTTTTATGCTCCAAACGGAACAGGTAAGTGGAATGTGAAAGTGCGATACCAGAGCCTTCCTGGTATACTTAGCAGTGAGAGACGGCACCACTGGGGATTTTAAAGAAATTTCTGAGGCACCCTCACATTCAGAAAGCAGGATCAAAGGTTCGTCTTCCAGGAGGTACCCCTTCTCTCTCACAGCTTCTAGCTCTATGTTCAGAAAGCCTTTGTTCTAAACTCTCCCCTCAGGACCAATTGTATGTTGTTATTACCCACCATGGGTCCTAAGATGCTTGGGAAAAAAGTGAGTATATACATATTTTAAAATAGTCTCTTATTTCTGGCACCATAACAAAGGCTACAGAGAAGACTCAAGTCTGGTCAACTGGCTAAGCCTTGTCCTAAGAGTGGAGATGTGATGGTGTTCCATACTTGGCCTTTCTGATGTCAATCGTCCCTTTGAGCTTCTCTTCACTGTCATTCTCAAAGTACATCAGCTTGGCCTCTCTCAGAACAAACCAGCGCCGCTTCCAGTTCCTCCGGGACAGTGTGGACATGCCGCCTCCCTTCTTGTAAAGCCAGCCTGACTTCAAGGCCTCTTGCTTGGCCCGGAACCACATGAAGGCCTCATTTTTCAGGACACACCAGCGCCGTCTCCAGGGGTTCATCAGGCCTCCTGCATGAAGGAAGGGGAGCAGGTTTTGTTGAACTATCTGCGACATCAAAATGCCTTCCTTCTACGTGGCATCAGCCCGTGACTAGACACCAGTATGATCAAATTCCTGATAATAGCAGTTCCCTGAAAAATATAAAGGCCTCTTATAGAGGCAGATTGTAAATTGTGTGCTAACAAGTGGGGGGGGGGGATGTAAGGAGCCTATCTAAAAATTAGAAGATATTAGCTTCACGAACTCCCCCCC